TGACGTACGTGGAGATGCTGATCAGGGACACCACGAACCCCAGCCCCTTGGACGCGTACTTCCCACTGTTTCGGGCCTTCGATTGGTTCGACCTGCACTCTTGGAGCCGCGGCGTAACGCCCAGCGCGGATGGCAAGGATCAGGAGTCCACGTCGGAGGAGTTGAACTTGCTGTATGGGATCCACCTCTGGGGCACGGTGATGGGCAAGCCCGACCTGCGGGACCTGGGGCAGACCATGCTGGCCTTGTGCGCGGTCACGGTGCGAGAGTTCTTCCTGCTTGAGACTGGCAACCCAAACCATCCAGAGGATTTCGTCAAGAACCACGTGACTGGCATATTCTTTCAGAACAAAGTGCACTACGCTACCTGGTTTGGGTGGGACGAGAAATTCATCCATGGCATCCAGATGCTGCCATTGTCGCCAGCGCTGCAGCTTACGCGTAAGCGAGAGTTCTGCCAACAGGAGTGGGACGACATCCTCTCGAGCCTGCCCCTCAGCGCGACCGACCCATGGACTTCCATCTTGTTGACTGGCACGCTGGCATGCATTGACCCTGCCGACGCTTTCACTCGGCTCGTAGCCATGGACTCCGCGCACATGGACGACGGGCTCACGCGAGCCTGGGCGTTGTACTGGGCGGTATCATTATCAGGCGATTGCGCAGGACCACCAACTGGCCTCACTGTCGTAACCACCACGACCACAACGACCACCACGACCACCACCACTCCACGAGAGTGTGCGCATTCGGCCACAGAGTGCAGCATTCCCAGCAGCATCGAGGCCTACTTCGACGAGGGGTGCGTTTCTGGCGGCCTCGGCTGCAACGCCTTCGGGATGGAGTGCTGCCGCTTCTGCGGCTCTGGCAGTTATGCCAGCATCCCCTGCCCCAGCAGCGCGACCCCGTCGCCAACGCCCTCAGCGGCAGTGCCGACGCCAGCGCCCGCTCCTGAGCTGGCACCCACTGCACAGCCGACATCGTCCGAGGACTTGTGCGGGCACTCGGCTACAGAGTGCATCAGCTCGCAGGCCACCGAGGCATACTTCGACGAAGGGTGCCTTTCTGGCGGGCTCGGCTGCAAGGCCCTCGGATTCGATTGCTGCCGTTTCTGCGGCTCTGGCAGTTTTGCCAGCATCCCCTGCCCCAGCAGCGCGACCCCGTCGCCAACGCCCTCAGCGGCAGTGCCGACGCCAGCGCCCGCTCCTGAGCTGGGGCCTTCACCGGCACCCACTGCACAGCCGACATCGTCCGAGAATTTGTGCGGGCATTCGGCCACACAGTGCATCAGCTCTCAGGCCACCGAGGCATACTTCGACGAAGGGTGCCTTTCTGGCGGGCTCGGCTGCAAGGCCTTCGGATTCGATTGCTGCCGTTTCTGCGGCTCTGGCAGTTACGCCAGCATCCCTTGCCCAAGCCCGACGCCCAGTCCGACGTCGCCTCCCTTGGCTCCCCCTCCTGCGGCAGCCACTGGCGATCCGCATCTTCAGAACATCCATGGTGAGCGGTTCGATTTGGGGAAGCCTGGCAAGCACGTTTTGATCAATATTCCGCGGGGAGAGCGCGCTGGGAATACGATGCTTCGTGTGGAGGCTGATGCACGTCAGGTCGGTGAGCAGTGCGCAGACATGTATTTCCAAGAAATGAATATCACTGGGGCCTGGGCGGAGGCGAAGCAGACTGGCGGTTTGCGTTTCCAAGCTCTGGGTTCAGGTATGGATTGGGCAAAGTTCGGGCGGGTAGAACTAAAAGTCGCCCTTGGTCATACACAACAGGGCATCCAGTATCTGAACTTCTACATCAAACACCTCGGACGAGCTGGTTTCGCTATCGGAGGACTGCTGGGAGAAGATGATCACACTGAGGAGTCGATGCCTGCGGTGGAATGCGTTCGACACATTGCCCTTCGTCAAGCTAGGCGTAGGCAAAGTGAATCCATGTTTTCGATTGCGGAGGCATTCTTCGCATGACCACATGTGCACGGACTGTGCACTGTACACGAGTAGACGTTGACTTTCTGCTGCGGAACAAGGAAGCGATATCGTAGAGAAGGACCCAGCCCGTCTGAACAGCTTTGAACGTAGTGTCGGGCGACGAAATCTGTACATATCCACTGCTCCCTGGCCAGGCCCATCCTGAACCCAGCAGCGGTGTATCCAGGAGGGCATGGCGTATACACCGCTGCTGGGTTCAGAATGGGCCTGGCCAGTGAGCAGTGAGTATGTGTAGAGTTCGTCGCCCCGTTGGGGGTGGGGGGCCCTCATGGACTGCGCAGCGGCCCACGACCGCTTCAGTGCGGCGGTAGCCGAGCCGCCGAATGAGGCACGGAGCGTGCGATAGGCGCGTGCCGCGCGGCGACCGCCTGCGGACGCCCCCAGACCCCCGACGTCGTGATTTGTTCCGCAACGCGGACCCCATGAGGTCTGGTTCCCCGGGATCGGCTTTCCGTCCCGAGCCGTACCGAGGTCGGCCAAGATGGGGGGGTGACGACAAGGGGTGGAAAGGTATCATGGCGGGGGCCACGATACTCCCCCAGACGTCACGGCGCCGCTTCTTACTTCACTGCGCCCCTGCCCCCCCCCCCCCCCTGGGCCGCGCACGTGCCGCTGGCCACGATGTGCGCCCCCCTCTTGGACGCCCCCCCTCGTGGCCGCCCCCGAGCCGCAGTGGCACTTCGCTCGAGCGGACCCAGCTCTAGTAGCAGACCGAGTTCAGACCTCTGGATGCAACAGATGAACGCGCCTGATGATTCTGAATCGGTTCCTGTGCGTAACAGCTCTGTAGCTCTCCTAAATCTCGAGTTCAGTACAGAAAATCGTCAACGGCTCAGGTGGTGGCAAGCAGCAGGGGCAGGAGGGACGGAGGGCCTGGGGCCGCCCAGTCGGGGAACGTTCTCCCGAACGGGGGACGTCCTCACAATTGATCATAGGGTCGTGCTCTCGCCTCGATGCTGGCTGGCTACATTGTCTGCCCGGGCGGCCTCGATCCTCCGCAAAACATGCGCTGAGGTGCACGTGGCCGTGCTCTCACCCCTGTCCCGGCTGCATCTTTCTCGCCTAGGGTTCCCCCCCCCTTCGTAGGGCGACGAGATCTATGCATATCCACTGCTCCTGGCCAGGCCCATCCTGGGCCCAGGAGCGGTGTATATGCCTCCCTGGCCAAGCCAGGAGGGCGTATACACAGCTCTTGGGCCCAGGATTGGCCTGGCCGGGAGCAGTGGATATGTATAGATATCGTCGCCCTACCTTCGGGAACCTCCTCCTCGCACGCCCGCTGCCTCGAGGACGGCCGCCTCGAGGCTCGCCCGCAGGCGCGGGCTCCGCCCGCGTCGGCAGGCCCCTCTCGCGCGCCGCGCGGCCCCGCCCGCGCGACGGCGAGCCGCCTCCGGAGGCGCGTGCATCTCTTGCCTCCTCCTCCTCCTCCTCCTCCTCCTCCTCCTCCTCCTGCCCTGTCGGGCGCCCCTGCGGAGGCCAGCGGAGCTCCCCGGCGGCTCCCCCGGAGGAGCTCCACGCAGGCCTCGGGAGGTCCCTGGAGCTGTCTCGCAGGCTTCTGGAGCCCCCGCCCCTCCCCAAACAAAGCAAAAAAAAACACGCGCCAGAAGGAGCGATGCCTTCGAAGCTCAGGCCCTGAGGGAAGGAAGGGGGGAGGAAGGGGAGGAGGGGGAGAAGCGGAATGACCATAGCAAGAGCCTGGCATACGCACACACACACACACACACACACACACGTCGTCCAAAGCCCCCTATTCTCTGAGAGCATCCGCTTGCACCACGGGGAATGTCCCCTTGAAGGACGAGCGCCCCATGGGCTTGTCATGAAGGCCAGGCGCCCGTGTTGAACAGGAGCCGCCGTCCATCCTGGCAGTGACAAGGCATGCTAAGCAAGATTGCTCTCACGAGTTTGCAACTGCACAGTGTTGCAAATTTGCAAGACCCCGTGTTGTTGAACGCCATGGTCTCGTGGGGGCCTCTTAGGTGCCTCTTGGGGTCTTCTTGGGGCCCCTTTGGGAGCCTTGGAGGCCTCCGTGGCACCATCTTGGAGGACGTCGATAAAAGAAGCAGGGTTCTCAATTGGCGCTGCTCCTCTAGAGCAGTTCAAATCATCTCTTGGGGCCCTCTTGGGGCAATCTCGGTGCGTTCTTGGACGCTGTTGGGCCGTCTTGGAGACTTCTTGGGGCCCTAACAATTATTTGGGGCCCACGTGGAGCCATTGTGAGGCTTCGGAAGACCGTCGGAAGCGAACGGGCGAGAAGGCAAACATCATTGGTGCCCCTAAGGTGTTGCGAGGACATTGGCCCTTTGGGGGGGCGTTCTGGGGAGCATCCAAGGACATTAGGAGCCGTCTTGGAGCGTTGTTGGATCATCTTGGAGCATGTTGGAAATCACCTTGAGTGATCTTGCGCTATCTTGTTCAGGAGGGAACGAAACACACAGTCACAATTAATCGTCGATTCCCCAGAAAATATTGGAAAATATGGGAACTGGGGGGGAAGACAAAAACCCAGACAATATAGGAAAATGGTGGGAAAAGTTTTATTCTAGACGCTTCGCGTATCCCCACCAGCCCGTCCAGAAACGACGCCCAGGCGAGTAGAGGGTCGTCCTGAGGGGCTTTTCGGCGTCTTGGGTGCCTCGGGGGGGCCTCTGTGGGCCGTTCGGGATCCTCTTTGGGGCCTCCTGGGGGCCTCTTGGGGCCTCTTGGGGCCATCTTGGGGCCTTTGGGGGCCTCCTGGGCGCTTCTTGGGGCCATCTTTGCCCCCTCAGAAGGCCAAAATGGGGCCCAAACCATAGTAAAAAGGCCTCTGGGAGCACCTTGGGTGCCTCTGGGGGGTCTCTTGGGGCCTCTTGGGGGTCTCTTGGGGGCCTCCTGGGGGCCTCTTGGGGGGCCTCTTGGGGCCATCTTGGGGCCATGTTGGGGCCTAAGAGGCGCTGGTAGAGCCATGTTGGTTGGGATCTGGCAAAGAAAGCGGAAGCATGTTTTAGCGTCGCCCTTGTAGAGCCT